TGTGTGTGTGTGTGTGTGTGTGTGTGTGTGTGTGTGTGTGGTGTGTGCGTGTGTGTTTGTTTCTGAAGGAAGAGTGTCTGGAAAGGTAGGAAAGCCTGTTCTCAAGTCCGTTCCTAGACAGATGGAGGTACAGGGAAGCAACCGTGAAGTTGTCTGATGGGATCTGCCGAAGTCCAACACCCAGCTGGGCGTGGTGAGCCACACCTGTGATCCCAACATGTAAGTTCAAAGCCAGCCAGACTCCATCTCAAGAACAACTAAGAGGGTTGAGGGAGACTCCGTTGACGGAGTGCATGCTGAACATTCTCGAAGCTCTGAGTTAACTAGGTGGGCGTGGTGACGCATACCTGCGTGGTGGTCACATGAGCATCAGGAATTCAAGGCGTCGTAGGCTACCTAGTGAGTTCGAGGCCATCTGGGCTCTATCAGGTTGTCTCAAAAAAAAAAAAAAAAAAAGTCCTAAAGACTTCTGGTGCCCAGGTATAGGGACATCACTGTGTCTGTGAGCGTGTGTGATGCCTGTATGAGGGTTTGCTGAGGGAGTACAGGCCAGGCCAGGGTGTGAGCAGGGGAAAGTGCCCATCTCCTGGCAAACAGGGTATGCTTAGAATCAGAGGCTACACTGAGCCTCAAGATATCATTTTAGTCATCTGATATGTGTCCTGACCAGGCACCTTGGGTTATAGGGGAGGAAGGAGTCAGCTCCCAGATGGAAGGTGCATCTGGCTGTGGGGAGAGACGTGTGAGCCTGTGAACCATCTGCTGGGGTCTGGTTTCCATAGGAGACCTCGTTGTCGTGGGAACCTGAACTTGAACAGGGAACAGGAGGCTGCAGGGCGGGGCCGGACAGGGCTGTGGTCAGAGGCTGAACTAGGAGCCCACTGCAGAACAAGAGCTCCTGGGCTGGGACGAGACTGAGGCTTTTGGGTACCAACAGGAGGACCCTGCAGCCAGTAGTTAAGGGCAGTGTCTCTGGGTCACCTGACCCTCCTGCCCCAGATGTGGTCTCCTAACATCTGCCCACCCTCCTCCCTGGGTGGTTATACTAGTTCATCATAAAGAACTAGTATTTGTTTATCTTTACAAATAGGGACGCTGAAGCCAGGCATGAAAAACCACACCTGACACAGGATGCTATCAAGTTGGTGGGCAGCCAGAGCTACGGATCTCAGTCTTGTGTCAGTACCATCTACAAGAAGGCTAGAGGCGTGGCTCAGCTAGTGGAGTTCTCGTCTAGCATGCTCGGGGCTCTGTATTCCATCCCCAGCACCGCATAAACCAGAGGTGGTGGCTCACGCCTGTAGTCCCAGCTCTCAGGAGGTGGAAGCAACAAAGTCAGGAGTTCGAGGTCATACTTAGCTGTATAAGGAGTTCAAGGCTAGCCTGGGCTGCATGAGCCCCTTTCTTGAAAGGTACAGAAATAGATCCTGAGATAGACTAAAGCCATCCCTGGAAGTTAATATCAGCTAGCTTTCTGTCCTGGGTCCAAAAAAAAAAAAAAATGAAGTCAGGGAGGTGTCAGGGAATATTGGGGCAAGACAGCCCTGGGGCGGGGCCTTCCTTTAAAGGCAGAACAGCCCCTCGCCTTGTAGCCTGGGTGATATCATTCCATACTCAGCTCTCATTATTCCCTGTGACAAGAAATCTCAACTCTGTCCCAGGTGGCCAGAGTCACCGGGTTCAAGTAAGAGGCATGTGAATTGATGTCTTTCAAGATCTGTTCAGAGTCTGCTGAAGTGCAAAGAGGTCAGAGTCCTAGGAGGAGTTGGCCACTGGTCACATACACCTAGTTCCCCACCTGTCTGGTCCTGGGGGAACCTAGTCTCCCTATTGAGGAACATGCCGTGGGGTTCTTGTCACTGATGGGGGTAGTAATAGCATTTCCTTTGAACACTGGCTTGCTTCAGCATCTGTGTTAAAAGAGTTGTGTGAGCCAGGCATGGTGTCAGGAACTGTGCTACAGAGTACGTTCCGAGGCAGCCTCTGTTATACAGTAAGACTCTATGTCGGCCGCGCCCCGGGGGGGGGGGCCCCCAAAAAATAAAATAAAGTAAAAGGTCACCAGAAAAAAAAAAGGCATGGTAGCATGCCTGTCTTAGCATTTTGGAGCTGTAGAGAAAGGAAGATCGGGAGTTTAAGGTCATCTATGTAGTGAATTGTGGGCTAGCCTGGGCTACATGAAACACCTTCTTCGAAAAGGTACGTGTTGAGAAAGGGGTACATTAGACATAAAACTAAGTTCAATGCTCTCCCTGACACCAGAAATGTTTTCAATATCCCTCCCCTCATTTATTCCCTGAAGGTTTATCTCAGGAGAGTTCAACCCTGATGGGTTGGCATGCCGGTCACCCAGGTCAGTGCTGTGATCCATGGGTTCTTCCTTTATTTGATCTGTGGAGGATCTCGATTGAGGGAGTTGGGTTTTAACAGCTCCCCAGGTGCCTCTGATGCACAGCCAAAGATTTAGTCCCTTGATCCAGCTCTGTGTGTCTTGTTGGAGTAAGGGACAGTCCGCCCACCCACGGGAGCACGGGCGGCTTCTGAAAAGCGCCTGGCAGTCTGCTCTGTGCACGCAACAAACAGCTTGGTGAGGTCTTATCTGCTCAATCCAGGCTGCCCTGCTGGACTCTGGTTTGGCAGAGCTCCCTGCCAGGACCCATCGGCCCTGCTCCCTGTGGTCTTTGAACCTCCTGGCAGCAAATCCAAGGTCAAATGTAGATACCAGGCTAAGACGCTTCATCTGGCTGACTCTAGGTTTCCCTGGCTGAAAAAAGGAAGAAACATTCCTACTTTTTAGGGCCCAGCCCCTAAGAATCAGCGGGGTTTGGGGGCAAGGGAAACAGTAGTCACTTGATAGCTGCTGCTGAGATGATAAAATAATGATATAATATAAAAACATATCCGCTGAGATGTCTGTCCATGGGCCAGGGAAATTGTAAAGTGACACATTCTCTTACAGTCTGCTTAAGGGCTGATAGTCCTTGCAATTAGTTCCTATCTGATTTTTCTAAGGTTTTGTTTATTATTTATTATTGTTTATTTGTGGTGCTGGGGACTGAACCCATGGCCTTGGTGGTGTATGCTAGGCACGTTGTCTACCTCTGAGCTGTATGCCCAACCCTGAAGGTAGATTTCTTTTCTTTTTCTTTCTTTTTGTATTTCGTTTGTGTGTTTGTTTTGTTTTGTTGAGATGGGGTTTCATATAGCCCTAGTTGGTCTCAAACTCACTATGTGGCTGAGAGAGACCTTGAACTCCTGATCCTTCCAGTTCCTAAATGCTGGGATTACAGCTGTGAGCCACTGAACCTGGCTCTAATTTTCGAAGGTTAAAACATTTGTTTTAGGGTCTCAAATATGTAGCTCTGGCTGGCCTAGAACATGGTATGTAGGACATATTGGCCTCTCAGACTTGCAGCAATCCTCCTGCCTCTGTCTCCCAAGTGCTGGAATTATTAGTGCTCTTCACCATTTCTGACCTCCCCAGCCCAGTTTCTGAGGCTTGATTCCCTCTGTCACAGACAGATGATACATAAACAGGTGACAGAAGAGGAGAGGTCTCAGGGAGGGTGCCTCGGAGAATCTGAGCATATCTGAGGTCCCCCTTGAAAGAAAAGTTAAGTTCAACTGAACATGGGGATACAGGCCTGTAATTAACAGGACAAATCCAACCTGAGCTACATAGAGAGAGTTCAAGGGGCTAGCCTGGGCTACAATGAAAGACCCTGTGTTGGAAAGGAAAAAGAGAATAGGAGAGTTAGGAGAGGGAAGGGGCGGAGAGTTAGGGAAGAGGAGGGAAAAGGAGTGGGGAGGAATTGGGAGGGGAGAGGGAGAGAAGAAGGCATAACAGAGAAAACAATGCGAGAGGCTGAGAAGTAGGCTGCCATCCAGGAGGAAGCCCTGAGAAGACCACACAGACAAAATGAGGGCTGATGAGTCTCCCATCCCAGGGACCTTACGGGCAGAGAGCTAAGGGATGTTTTCAAGGGTTCTAGCCCAAGCCAGAGGACTGTTTTGATCCCTACAAGTCTAAGGTCATGATCCTCACATGTGAGAGAAAAGATCCGCCCCAGGCTAGCCAGAGGAATGAGCCAGACCCACATAAAACAAGACACAAGTGTGTTCCAAGCCAGCTGCTTGTGGCCGACTGAACACTGAAGGCAGGAGGAGCCGTGGCCGGCTGGGAGAAGGCAGGATGGAGGCTCCAGGCACAGCCTTGGAGAAAGGAAGGACTTGGAGGGAGGTGAGGGTATTCTCGGTAGGAGACCCTGCTGGTACCAAGAGAGAGGGTGGGAAGGAGGACCCCTGGGGAGGAGGCTTCCATGAGCAGTGGATGGCTTTGAGACAAGGGGCTTGCTATATTGCACAGGGTAGCCTCAAACCTCCCTGTGTAACCCAGGAAAGCCTTGAGCTCCCTATATATAGCCAAGGCTGGCCTTGAACTGCCTATGAAGTGCAGCATGATCTCAAACTCGAAATCCCCCTGTCTCCACCTCTGAGTACTGGGATTACAGGTATGTCTCATCATGTCCCGTCCACAGATGTGATTCTTTCTACATCTGTTGTGTATATACCATAGTGAGGGCGGTGGTCAGAGCTCTGGAGAGTCAGCTCTTCGCTCCACCATGTGGGCTCTGGGAATTGAACTCAAGTCGTCAGGCTTGGCAGCCAAGATGACTGTAGCGACTCAGCCTTCTCCGTGTTCTCAGTGAAAACCAGGAATCAAAACCTCAAGCCAGGCGTGGTGGCACACCTCTGCCGGGCCAGCACCCTAGTGGCTGAGGCTGGAGAATCTTGTGTTCAAAACCAGCTTGGGCTACACAGTGAGATTCTGTCTCAAAACAGCATTCCAGCTATCTGTGGAGTCCTGGGTTCGGGGTGGAGGTGGACCAATGTTACTAGGCTATGAAGCATGGCTGTGGGCAGTAGAGGGAGGAGGGACAGAAGGAAGGAACAGCTTCCTCAGGAAGTAGCCTAATTAGAGGTGGGCTATCCAAAAGCAGAACTCCAAGACAGAGGAAGTGGGGTTCTGCCAGCCCCAGGGCGCTTGAGAGGGACACAATCCCTCTGCCTTCTTCACCCATCATTTATTAAGTACCTACAGTATACATGGCCTTAGCCAAGCACTGAGAGAAAACAAGAGTCAAGTCACCAGCACTTACTCTTAACAACTGCTCTCTGTGCTGGGTATGACTAGATCTGTCCTCTTCTGTTTGCATGCTTGAAACCCATACGAGGCAACGAACATCATATCTATGATGGGGGGGGAGTGGGGCGTGGCTGGGGGGCTCAGTTGGCAGAGTACGTGCCTAGCAGGCACAAAGCCCTGGGTTTTATTCCTAGCACCAGAATAAACCTAGTGTGGTGGCAGAGGCCTGTGATCCCAGCAATGAGGAGATTGAGTCACTTGCCTGAGAGCACACGCAGATGGTGAGGAGAAAGGAGAGAAGCCAGAGAGCTCTGTCCTGGGTCCCCTCACTCTTCCAAACCACCATATTGTTTCCAGCAGGCAGCTTTTGGGCTGGAGGACAGAGAGAACAGGAAAAGATGTGGAGAAACATCAGAAGGGAGAAGGCAGAGGTTCTCTCTGTAAGCATGAAGCTTAGAGCTGGAGGCCAGAGCCAGGGAGAGCATCAAAGGCTTGGGGCCATGTGTGTTTGGCAGCTCAGGATAACACTAGAAGGCTTATTTCCTGCAGACTCACCCCTCCCCGAGTCCCCCAAGCTCTGAACAGATTGCTCAGACCATCCGGGCCTGACATGCAGTCTCTAGCGGGTCAGGAGAAGAAGGGGCACAGACCCCAGGAGGTGGTGGCGCCAGGACTTTAGCCCAATCTGCCTATGGTAGCCAGACACTCCCAACCCTGCTGGGCTGACAAGGCCCAGAGACTAGGCAAGCCCAGCTGTGTATTGTCACTGAGTCTCTGAAGCCAGACACACAGACATCTGGCTAAGAGGTCTCCTTGGACCCACTGCCAAGCTACATAACTGCCTGGCACCCACCTTGTGTCCCCTCACCATGTGACTCTTGGGCTTCCTTCAGCAAGGAAGAGCTGGGCCATGATGACAAGGTGACTTGCCAAGGTTTGCGGTCATGATTCAGCATAGGAGTCTCTATTTGTTGCCATGACAACAGCTCGGGGGTCAGCATCTATAATATTCTCCAATGAGAACTTTGGCGGATCCCTGGGGACTGACCTTGGCTTAGAGTTAACTGTTCCTCAGGAAACTATTTGATTTGCTCATTCACGGTGTCCCCACCCCTCCAGTCTCTGGCCCCTCCCCAAACAGCCCTGGGTCAAATGACCAGAACCCCACCCAAATAAAGCTGCCCCTGTGCCTAGGACACAAGCCTCCTTACACTGTCCTATCAGAGTGGGAATGGCTGGCGCCAGGCAGAAGCCGCATCTCCTAACTGGTGTCACCAGCCAGCCTGCCCTCTTAGAACTGGCTCGAACCATGCTGCCCAGCTCTGTGAGAAGTCAGTGGGCAGAACAGGTAAGTAGAGTCCCTTGCCCAGAGACCAGCTACAGCCACAGGCAGCACACTCTGCAACAGTGTTAAGCCTCCTACCCAGGAGAAGTAGCCTGAGTTCATTCCAGGCTTCGTATTTATCCAGCTGTGTGGCCCCAACCACTTCCTTTAACCTCTCTGGGCCTGATTTCAAGTGTGCTGGAACTACATTCAGAATTTCTGCCCTTCTGACTTCATTGAGACACTGTGAGAAGAGAGAAAATGCAAAGCCAGGTGTGGTGGTTTTGCCGAAGATCCCAGCTACTCTGGAGTCTGGTGTGTGCAGTGGGGAGTGGGGAGTGTTTACAAGGTCAAGACCAGTCTGAACTATGCGTAGTGAGACCTTGTCTCAGTAAACCAAGAACTGGGACATGATTCAGTGGTAGAATGTCTTTCCAGAATCCCCCAGTGAGGGGCTGGGGGCGTGGCTCAGTGGTAGAGCCC